TATATTGAAAACTTTTGGTTTTTTTGAGACAGGGTCTTGCTATGTAGCCCAGGCTGACCTCAAACTTGCAGTGATCCTCCTGCCTCAGCCTCCTGAGTGCTAGAATTACAATAATGCGCCACCACACCCGGCTTATATTGAAAGCTTTTAGAGAGTAATGTAGCTAACATATTTATTAAATACATTTATTTATCTATTTATTTATTTATTTATTTTTGTGCCAGGGTCAAACTCACGACCTTGTGCTTGCGAGGCAGGCATGATACCACTGAGCTAAATCCCTGGCTAATGTAGCTAATATAATTAGCTAATATTAAAGTAGCTAATATAAACAGAAGAAATAATAAATATCCTTCCCAATAATCATAATAAGATATTTTGTTGGGATATGGCTAATAAAAACTGAATTTGTATCTGGATATTTTGTTTGCTTATCTAAATATCATATTGTCCCATTTATGTTTGTACTATGATGAAACCTTTTAGGTTAAAACCTCTGAAGATGCATTTCACATGAATGTAGTACCCTACAGAGAAGCAACGGGGTGTTGTGGAAAGCATGTGGGTTTGGAATCAGACAGGCTTGACTGCTGCGCTTTGAAATGTTGCATTCTATAATAACGACTTATGCAAGAATGCTCACAACAGCCTTATTTATAATATCTAAGAACTGGCAACAGCCCAGGTGTTCACCAATAGGAAACTGCATAAACTGTAGTGTATTATGAGTTGTGCTGCTATAAGCATAGATATGCATGTATCACTGAATATGATGCCTTTAATTCTTTTGGGAAGATATATAGAAAGAATAGCTGAGTCAAACGGAATTTCTATTTTTAGTTTCTTGAGGAATCTTCATCCTGATTTCCATAGTGGTTGTACTAGTTTACATTCCCACCAGCAGTGTGGAAGGGTGCGCTGCCTGGGGCCTCATCAGCATTTCTTATTGTTTGATTATGGCCTGTTTATCGGCAGATGAAAGGATAAAGAAAATATGGCATTTACACATAATGGAGTACTACTCTGCCATAAAGAAAGATGAACTTGAATCATTTGTAGGAAAATGGATGCACCTTGAAATGAATAAATTTTAAGTGAAATAAATCAGACACACAAGTTTAAATACTGCATGGTTTCTCTTATATGAGAAACCCAGAGTATAAACAAAGAGCAAAATAAAAGATAATAGGAAATAGAGAGATAGATATTCTCAAATGGGAAAGTCATCAAGAGTTGGAGGCAGAGGAGGAAGGGGAATGAGAAAGGATTAAGATATGTTATATACATGTACCGACTCCACACAGGGAATGGAAATATTATATTCTGCAAATATGTACCGAAAAACCCTGTAGTGTAGACATTCACAAAGTACTGTTCAGCAATAACAGAATGAACTACTAACGCACACAAAGACATGAATGAATCTCAAATTATACTCATTGAAAGAAGCCTTGCACAAGAATGAATGCTCTAGTTTCATGATAATGACAATTTAAAATAGGCAAAGATAATTTCTGTGAAAAACAACCAAAGCATTGGTTACTCCTAGAGTTTGGGATGGGAATTTACTCAGAAGAGACATGAAGGAAATTTCTGGGATGATGATCATGTTCTGTAAAATAGTAAGAGTTTGGGTAGTGTGTGTCCTTTCTCTAAACACATCTAATGATACCCTTAGGATCTGTGCTCTGCCTTGTATATAAAACTTGCCTGGAAGAGATAAAAAAGAATCTAAATAAATATTGAGCTCTAGTTAACAATATGCATAGGAAGAATTTCAACTTACTTTAAAATGCATACAAACTAATGTGGATCAGTGGGTGAATGAGGGATTAGCAGATAGGTGAAAAGGCAAGTACCGTAAAATGTTACGATATCTAGGTTTTCCTGTGTGGTTCAACATTTTCATAATAAAACATCAGAAAATGTCTTCTGATCTTGGACATGTTTTATAAACTTCTCAGTTTAGATTTCTGCAAAATGGAAGTAGTAGCATTTCCTTTCAAAGCAAAGCATTTACTTCACTGCTCTGTCAGTTTATAAACCATGAGAAGTGTTTTGGGACTTGGTAGCATTGTGTATGGGCAGTGGTCTAAAATGGTATGTAAGAACATCATTTGGGTTATGAGGATGACCTATCTCTCAGCAGATGGCAGATTCTGTATTCCTTGGGTGGATGAATAGCTTCTAGTGATGGCAGTGTTTCAGACTCCAGGGAAGAGAGACGTCCCTTAGTGACACTTGGTATAGAGGGATTGGTGAAGAGGAGAGAAGAACACAGTATCATGGCCAATCATCATATAGGTTTTGATACTAAATAACAAAATAGTTATTTGGCTCTAAAAGCTCCATTTGTGAGCACTCATTTGTTTGACAAACACTTACTGAGTGTCTACTGCATATTGTCCTAGGAACCAGGGATACCAAGGTAGATGAAGGTACAAACAGATACAAGTGCCTGTACTTGGCTCACATTCTGATAAAGATAAAGTTTATTGGATTTACAGGGAATCAGTCTTTTACCTGTAGGGGTGGAAATGTAGGATACCTTCCTTAGCCATCTTAAAGCTCATGGCTGGTACAACTGTAAGAGAAATCAGGTTAAAAAGACAAAAGCATAGAGATTAATTTAATCAAAGTTTTGTGTGACACAGGAGCCTTCAGGGATGAAGACCCAGAGATCCAGGGAAAATCATCAGGTTTTATGCTTAGCTTGGATGAAGAATGCACAGCCATGTAGAAATGCAAGAGGACAAAAGGGTGTGATGTAATGGTGACAGAATGAGGAACCCAGCAAGGCCTGTTCAAGTTCTTCTAGGGCTCCCTGTGTAGCACTTCTTTTCCTGGAGTATGGGGGCAGGAGCCGTCTTCAGGGGAGAGGGAGAAAGAGGGACCTTCCTAAGTTTATGGCTTGCTTTGAGAGAGAGCAGCTTACCTTGGTGAAAAGAATTCTGATTGAATCATTTGCTTTGGGACAGTGAAAGTAGCTGAGAAATAAAAGAGCAGGAGAAATTCAGAGGAACTTTGCTTCTGAGGCCCTTCCGACAGCCTTCAGTTCAAAGGACCCAGCATTTAAGGTACCACACTTTGGAGTATCACAGCCTGCACTCCAGCAGTATCTGCTGCGTATTTACTCTCTTCTAGGAACTTCAAACACCCTACTAAGCCATCTGGAATATGCTCCACACTTTGAGGACCTTGTGATCCACCAGGAGAGACAGATTTAATCAAGTCACCGCACCTAACTCTAAAAAACTCATCATAAGTATGCTAACCACTGGAGGGGGTGTAGGGTCCCTTAAGAGAATTCAAAGAAAATGTCCCCTTCTTCCTGAGAGAAAGAAATATCCCTCTCCAGCGTTCATCTGAGTTAAGAGAATGAACATTGCCTCCTGTCAAGTCAACAACCAGACAAGGAATAGAATTAGGTGAACCAGGAAGGAAGGTGGTTGATTGCATTGTTTCCCCATTCTTTTGGATTCTGGTGGGTTTAAGCCTTCAGGGTCCTGGATACTTTGGCTACAAGAAAAGCAGAACAAGAAAGTAACAAGGTAATCTGGAATTAGGTTTAGCTTGAGCCTGCTCAGTTGCTACAGCAAACTTCCTGCTGACACAGGTCCTAGGGATCATGAAACAAAGCAATCACAAAACTCCCCCAGGACAAGAACACTACCATCCCCCCTCAAGTCACTGATTCTGCACAGGAAGAAGACAGAAGCCAAGAGAAGATGGGGAACTGATGAGAAATACATGTCTCACAGATAAAAACCGCCACTCCTTTGGTATTAACACAACCTGGGAATAAATCAAAGCAGCTGCCTAAGCCATTGTTGCATTATGTGTTATGTGCCACCTCCTCACAAGGCATGTAATCATTAGGTACTGCAAATCAGTACTAATAAAAATAAAATCAAAGGCAAGAAATGCTAGTAGAGAAGGACGAGGCTAAGAGCTACGGCGTTAGGCCTCCTGACTTCACCATCTCAGCGTCATGCTACCTAGCTTTGAGACTTCAGGCAAGCTACTTGACCTCCATTTTCTCAGCTCGAACGTCAGCATCTGCCTCACAAGGTTGTTCCCCTACCTCCTGAAAAGAACCATTCATGTTAATGGACTTAGTACAATTTCTGGCACATAAATACTGCACAGATTTTAGTTTTCACTCTTCAATGATTTTCCAGCAAGATCCTAGCTTTCTCTATAAGGTTTTTTTCAATAAATGTGATCTGCTAAATATGTAAAGGTAAAATAGCATCACTCTGTAAGACTGTTTATATAAATACCTTCACAAATCAGAAGAGCGATCTTCCACCTCACATCCTGATTTGTTTCAGGTTATATGACCTGAACACCCACACAATAGGTCATTTCGTCCTTTGTGAGTGGGGAGTGTCCTTCTCCCACCCAAGCAAAATTCAGCCTGCCGGAAGACTGAGGATTAGCTCTCTCTTAAAGACAATTGGGCATTTAAAAAGAGACTAATTTGCTATGATCTCAAGATATACAAAATCTGAAGAATCTGTGTATTCTGAGCTGGTGGCAGGCCTTGACTTGTTTGATAGGCCTTAGAAGAGAGGAGTAGAATTAGCACTTACCTAGACTGCAATTAGACTGAAACAGTAAAGATGTTTTAGGTTTTGTGTAAGCTGGTAAGTGTCCTGGCTCTTGGAATAACAGTATTGCTGAAAAATTAACACCTTTCCTTCTGGTATGTCTTTGCATAAATTATTGCTTTTCTGCAAGATTAAGTGATAGCATCTGTGAGTGTTCTGTCACCACTAAGGCCTGGCATTTGAATCTGCACTTTCTTTTCTCTGCCTGTTTTTAAAGGTCTAGGAATGCAAGAGCTAGCCCCAGCACATGGCCGAACACTGTGGCTGAGACTTGTGAGCAAGTCTTTTAACCTCTTGCTTCCAACTCAGCATCTAAGGCAACAACAATCCTCCGGACACGGCCCTCCCCCTGCCTGTGATAGGCTGCTCAGAATAGCAACAGCCTGTGTCACCGAAAAGGGCAAAGCCTTCGGAAATAGAAACAAAGTTGGTCACAAATCACACAGGCTTTGCCCGAAGTCCTCCCCCACACTTCTTTAGTACGGTACCATGGGGAAAGTGACCAGTCCTGTAGGCGGTGCAGGACACGGTGGTTTAGCGGCGAGAGAGTGGCTGTAACTTCTACGTGACCATGGTACCTGTTGAAAACACAGAGGGCCCCAAGCTGCTAAACCAGAAGGAGAGAGAGGTGGAGAGCGATGGCAGCTACAGAGCCAGAGCCGGCCGGCATCCTGCCTGTGCGGGAGGTAAAGTGAGAAGCTGGGCTCCGGTGACCCGCTGGAAGGGACAGCGGTGCTCTGTGCCTCTCGGGCGTGCACGAGTGTGAGTGAGTGTGTGTCCGCGCGCACGCGCGCGTGTGTGAATGGGCTGGAGGCAGGGAGAAAGGGGACAAGGTCTGGTGGGACTTGGAGTGACCTAGGGCTGTAACGTTGTGAGGACTGAAGTCTTGTTGGGACGTTGTGTGTTAAGAAAATGGGACTTACATACCCACTCTTGGTATGATAGGGCTAATCAATTGTGTTTACATAAGACAATGTGTAAATCTTTTTCATTTTGGAAAAGTAGATTGGCAACAGAGTCTCATTTGTAAACTCACATTTTTTTTCCCCACGTATTGTTGCTAATGGACAATATGTAAACACTTTTTTGAATCAGTATTTTAAGTGTGCTTCATAAAATTATTGGTTATGTAATCAATGAACACAACTTTTCTTTCTAAATTCCGGGCATGTCAGTAATGAACTTGAGGATTATTCCAAACTTGAAACCTCTTCTTTGCTTGGTCCTGCTTTCTTTAAAACTGGCTTTCCAAACTAAGGTTTGCTTTACACCTTTTCCTTCCAGAGGTGAACTTTGATGAAATTCTCATTTATTTCACTTACCTTTGCTAGCCCAAATGCCCACAGACACACCGTACACCTGTTGCTGCTTCTTCGTATTCATTTAGCGAGTTCCCAAAGAACTGGAGGTGAATTGTAAAATGATATTAAATACAAATAATCATCTCCTTCCTACTGATTTCCTCAGCTCTGACCTTCCTAAGCTTGTATTATTTTCCCAAACCATACATTGGAATTTTGTAAGTAATCTAAAAGATTAAATGATGCAAATGCTTTGCCTTTGGGAGATTTTCCTGACTGTGGAATCCAGTCCACAGCCCCTTACATGGAGTGGAAGAGCTGCCCTCTAGGGAATGAAGGCACAGTCCTGCTCCCCTGTCCTGTGCCCAGCTCAGCCTCCTCTTTCTTCCCTACCCCTTGTCCAGAATGGAGACCTGGGGCCATCTTTCATCTCCCTCCAGCAGAGCTGTCCCTCTTCCTATAGCTTTGTTTGCTGACTCAGTGTTTCCTGTAAGCAGGCAAGGGGAACATGTATTTCGGTGTGAATAGAGTTGCACAATTCTTTTTTCTGAATTCCTGAGAAACTGAGCTGCAGACAGCAAGCTGAGGTGGTGATAACAACCAAAGAGTGCACCAAAAGGAGTCAGTGGCAATGTCACCAAAGAATGAAAAGAATCTGTCTTGGAGGGACTTTTTCAATAACCGTTAAAAGTTGACTATTTAAATTTTGATATGGCTGTAAAAGCACAGTGTTCTGTAATAGCTTGTAGGGTACAAGTTTACAATTATCTCCAAGGAATATGTGTGCTTATGCTTGTAAAAGTTGAATATATCCTCATAATTTAACTCAACATGCAATTGTTTATGTTCTTATAAAGAAATGATAAATGAACAACATAAATTGCCCTTCGAGTTTAATTTTAAATGAGCCTTTATTATGTAGACAAGAAGCCTAAATATTTTCCTAAAATATCAGATGAATATACATTTGATTTATGCTGTACATAATTTACATTTAGATGAACACAAACTCTGCATTATTACTTCCGTAAATTTTCCTAACTTGCTTTAACGTCCTTTGATACCCAAAGGTACCCATCCTTTGACACATTTATGTTTGAATAAATCCATTGTGTAGCCTTGCTGTTTTGTTTTGACAAGTTACTGAATGTCTCCATCTATTAATATTAGGATGATACCTTAATTGGTTTTATAAAGATGTTGAGGTGTGAAAAAATAATAATTGTCAAATACTGCTTTTGGCTTCTCTGTATATAAATTTCAGTTCTCGCTCTCTCTCTCTCTTTCTCTTTCTCTTTCTCTCTTTCTGTCTTGAGACAGGGTCTCACTATGTAGTCCAGGCTGGCCTTGATCTCATGGAGATCCTCTGCTTCAGCCTCCTGAGTGCTGAGCGCACAGCCATGTGCCACCATGCCTGGCCTTACAATTTCTTTTATCAAGAAATTCAGAGTATTTACAATATGCTTACTAATTACCATCTTACTTTTGGATTTGAAAGTGGGAACCTTTTCTGGATTTCTAAATGGAAAAATTCAAAGCATAAAGAGAAATGAGTTACATAATCTAGGGCAAGGTGATTAAATCATGTGAGATACAGAAAAACAAAACAAAACCCCTAAGCTCTGGGATTGAACCTCCTCCCCTTAATGCCACTGCACACAATGAGGCATTCTAGTAGGTCTTTTTTGGCCAATTCTCTTTAGAAAGAATGCTTTGTTCCAATGACTACAAGTTAATGAACTTAATTCATTTTCAAGAAGCTATGACTCAAAGTAGATACACTGTTAGTAAATTTTTCAGCGTTTATGGACATATACAAATTGATCTTCTAGGGCAAAGTCAAGCTTAATTGGACATCCTGGTGTGGAGAGCAGTTTACAGATCCAGCTAGGGCAGGACTGAAGGTGGTGGCCTCAGGCCGAGGAGGTTTGAAGTCTGCTCTTTCATCCTCAGCTGCAAGCCTTTCCTTAGTTCATGATCCAAACAACCGGCTCGGGAGAGAGCTCCCTTACGGCTCCCTTTCCCCCATTAACACTACCTTTTCATTTCCTATCTGGCCAGAAAGTCAGAAACCGAGAGTTGTGTTGATTGCGCGCATGCAGATTCTGTGCCGCCCAGGGCACCCGGACCTAGAGTCATGGACCCACTCAAAAGGCTACACTTGATCCCCCAAAGATTCCAAGCCTGGGACTTAAGATATACACATTCTCACCAGTCAAAAGAATCCCCTAAGATAGTTGTTGTGAAACTTTGAAGCTGTCACTCCTTTTCTTCACACGTGGAAGCCAGAGAGGTGGACAGTGTATAAGCTGCGACTGAGTGTCCTTCTCAGGTTTAGTCTGAACAAGCAATCCTTGAATTCACTCAGGCCTGGCTGTCTCAGGCTTCCTGGCGTTACCCAGGGGAGTATTTGAAGGGAGATTGGAGGGGGTTGTTGTGGAAATGAACATTCTCAAAAATGAGAGAGTTAGAGGTGATTGTAAGAAGAGACATTCTAACACCAGGCTAGTTACTTTGGGCAATGCTAGGCCATTCCCATTTTTCTAGTCTTTCTACATAGTAAAAAATTAAGTGCCAAAACTCATGAAAAATATTATGCTTTACAAATGTGTTTCATAAGTGGATGGCAAAATAAATAATGACAACAAAAATTATTGTGTGTATTAAGATATTCTCAAGGAAATGATAGGATTTGTAGACACGTTGATTTATGAAGCACTAAAATTTTTGTGATGGTAATGAGACCAGATTTAAAGATAAATCTCTCAGGCATGGTGGTGTACACCTGTAATCCCAGCACTCTGGGAGGCTGAGGCAGGAGGATTGCAAGTTGAGAATGTAGCCTAGACAACCTAGCGACTTTAGCAAGACCCTGTATCAAAATAAAAAGGCTTAGAAGTGTACCTCAGTGTGAAGGCCCTTAGTTAAATCTCCAGTACTGAAAGAGAGAGACAGAGAGAGAGAAAGGGAGAGAGGGAGAGAGACAGAGAGACAGAGAGAGAGAGAAGGAGGGAGAGAGACACAAAGAGAGAGAGAGAGGGAGGGAGAGAGAGACAGACAGAGAGACAGAGAGAGAGAGAGAGAGAGAGAGCTCTTCTTTTCCAGACCAGTTAGCACCTCTGTGAGACAGAATGTTTAGCCTCGTTTGGAAATCATATCAGAAAGTCTAAATTTGAGACTGCATGACTGAGTCTTGAGCAAATGGCTCCTCTGGGGCCTCCTAGAAAGTAGAAGGCTCTAAACAAACATGGTGCGATTGGTTTCACCACAAGCTCAAATGGAGCATTTGGCACAGGCAGTGAGAACAGTGTTCTTGTCCCTAAGGACACGTCACACACAGAGGTTGTCACTTGCCACAGACCACCCCCCACCCCCCCACCCCCCAGCAGCAGCAGCAGCCAGCACGTGGGTGCAGCCAGGGCGGGAAGAGCCAGCCAAGCCCTGGGGCCCACCTGGGCGGGCCCAGCCAAGCCAGCACTTAGCCGCCTGCCTGAACTGGCTCTCGCAGCCAGTGTCCCTCCTGACAGGTCAGGGCCTCTGTCCCAGTTGTTAAGTTCTATATTTTCCACACCACCCTGCTGTACTTGCTGTAGATGGGTGAGATTTTATTTTACATTCAAGAATAGTCCTTGAATCATGGTTGCGTATGTAACAGTTTCCCAGTAGAAGGAACTGAAGTACTAGGTAGCCTCAGAGTTAGAAAACCTGAGAGCTCCAAATGGCCCTCTCTATGTGTGTGAGTTAAAGCAGCTATTTACTCAGAGTGTGTGAGCGAGAGCTGGTTTTATAAGAGCTTTAAATTGAGCAGAAATGGAGTTCCCTAGTTCAGTATTTTCCTCAAGAACAGTCTTTGCCAGAAGGACGGATGATTGGATAACTTGAAATACACAGCATTACGGGATGAGAAAGAAAAGTTGGATGGCTTCTTCCCAAGAGTCTATTTGACCATATACCAGATGAGGACAATTTCTCATCACATGTCCCTCAAAAAGAACCAAAACTCAGTTAAAGAAACAAAAATTCCTAAATATATTTCCCAGCTGAAATGGAGTGAAATAACCTTCACAGTAAATCATAAATTTATATGGGTTATTTCTGTTTTATTCTGAGTTTGCTCACTGATACTATTTTCCTTTCTGTGTTGCAGCACACACATTTATATACTTACTAAATATCTATGCCTTAGTAACATTCTCTTCACCTATAAAATTTGGGTAAAAGTCATCATAAGATTAAAATGATTTCTCACATCATTCTAATTTTAGCAGCTTTCATTATTTTTGAACAACAATTCATTTTCTGGTTCTGCCAGAATAGCAGGGAGAAAAGTGTAGTCCTTTGTTTGACTTATAGGAATATTTTTTTCCTTGAGTTAGTCAAGTGTA